CAGAGATACCTGTGGTCCATTTCTAGGAATGCTGACAGAGTGAGACTGGGACAAAGCATTGTCCCCAAGTCCCTCCGACAAGGACAGTGTTCTCTGTTCTGTCCCTCACTTGGTTTTCGAGGTGAAGCACAGCCTGAGGCAGAGCTGGGAGCTGGAGGATTATTCCAAATGAGTTTCTAAAGGCATAGCACAGAAGTGTGTTTTCTTTCCAATTGTTTTTATTGGCAAGGTGATCTACAAAGGGGTTATAGTTACATAAATAAGGTAATAAGTACATTTCTTGTCAATCTAGTTACTCCCTCCCTCATTTTTCTCCCATATTCCCAACCCCTCCTACCCACCCCCAAGTTGTACAGATCATTTTGAAAAACAATTTCATCTAATATTTGAAAAAATGTTTGGCTGTTAAAATAAGGATGTCAGCAGTTCCAGTGACTTCCAGAAGGAAGGACAATATGGCAGTTTGGCACCTAGGAAGAGAGTCCTGATTTCAAGAAAGACAGTCAAAACCATGGTTTGGGGGGCCCCAAGGAAATGGCTTGAGAGGAAGCTTCTCAAGCTATTACATTGTGAGCAGTCACTTGAAGATTCTCTAAAATGCAGACCTCGGTTCAGCAAGTCAGAGTCTAGGACCCCTACTTTTCTAGTAAGTGCCAAATCACATACCAAAGAACCACAACAACCTCTATGGTCCAGAGGGGCATTTACTGCCAGCTCCTGCTCAGATTTGTATAATGTCTGTGTGTACCTGAAGAAGTCCCTGAATTATCTTTCCTTTCCCAAAGAGTGGCCTGCAATTGAGAGCCGCAGCTCTATGTAGCCAGACAATCTTAGGGAGGACTCTGAATTTCAAACTGCCTCCTTAGCTTGCCCTCTGCTGGTGAATGAGGGTCATTTTTCTCCCCACCTGCATTCAGCCTTTCTTGCTGTCCAAATGCTCAATGCCTCTTTTCAGTTAATACAAACAGAAAGTCATGACTGATTCCAGAGGTTTGTTTCATTCTTCTAGATTTGGGGGAATTTCCCTAATTCTGTTCTTTACAATTCCATACATTCCTCACAGGAGGCGGGTAAATGGTTAATCTGGTAGTAACCCATGTTTTTGTATGTGGCCTAAAGGTCTTCCACTATCCCAACTTTGTTCTTACCCATTCCAGGCATTTTCCACAGAGATTGCCAGGGGTCCTTTATTCACAGACAGCACATACAAAGTTGAGGAACAATGACTTTTTTATTGTGAAAATACTGTACAGAGGGGTTACAATTACATGGGCAAGATAATGAGTATATTTCTTATCAAGGATTGTAACCTCCTCCTTTGTTTCCTCTTCCCATCCCATCCTTTCCGTCCCCCACTCTCCCCCCCCCCACCAAAGTTGTAAAGTTCGTTTTCGACATAACGACTTGTACATCTCATTGTTGCAATGGGTCCACCTGTATCCCTATTTAAACAATTTGTTTTTTCCCTT